CACCACCACCACCACTATCAAATATGTCTACAAATAACTATTTGGGGTGGGGTGTCTTTGATATCAGTCTGAGGGGTGCATAAGGACCCGCAATCAGGACCAGGAGCTTGGAAAAAAAACACCAACATCACAAACCTGAATTTCAAAGACGTTTACGTAAATCCCCTTGGAACCCTGCAATGCCAGCACCTGGATTCATAATTTTGGAGACGCCCACGAGAGGAAGATTGTATACTACCCAGGCCTGTCATACAAATGTCATAAAGACCATTCTCAAAATTGTGGGCCCTTATGGGTACCAAGATTTCTATCAACCATGGTACAGCACATAATGCTTGGGGATACCAAAATGGGACCCCTACGTTGGAAACTACCCATACCCTAAGGGTCCAAGTACNNAAGAATCATATACTTACCCTAAACCTGTACTATAATTACTATTACCCAATCCCCAAGTACCTAATTATTGGGTACATGGACCCTCTGGGATATGTGAAAACAAGAGCGGGATCCCTGGCCCCAAGCCTTATTGTCTTCACGCTGTACCTCAATAGACCTAGGGTTTGGAGTTTAGGGTTCAGGCTTTAGGGCTTAGGGTTCGGCATTTAGGGTTCAGGGTTTGGGGAGAAACCTCGGCACTCTTACACCCAGCTTGGAATGCAGAAGCACGATTCCAACAAAGCCGTACCCGCTATTGTTTCGTACTGCCTGTAGACGGTCGTAAATTAGGTGATACTGTGAAGATTCATATTTCCCCCCCCCTTCCCCCAAACTTTAAACCCTTGTTGTATAAGCGAGCCTAGCCTAAACAGAACTGGTGGGCCTTGGAGGCACTTCAGGCAACACTTAGCAAACCCTACCAGATACCAAGCCCAAACCCTAGAGAAAACCCTACATCCCAAACCTAACCCCTAAATCCCAATGCCCTAAACCCCACATCCCAAACAAGAATTCTACGTGCCAAGCCTTGACTTTACCCTACTGTCCCCAGCCCGAGTTGTTGTTCGGAACGTAAGCTGAGGGGGAAACCAGAGCCCTTCATACACAATACGAAACATCCCCTTCCCTGTCACGATTTGGGGCTTACGGTTTAGAATTTATGTCCACTCACCCCTAGTATGAAATATTCCCCATAAGAAACCTTATGTGTTGGGGGACGTACTTTGCATGTGTAGCTGGTTGTTTAATGTCAAAGGGATTATGTTATGTGAATTTTCTTATGCATGTCACGCTCTCGATTGTGCCGGCTAGCTGGGAGCACAGAGTGCTGCGGCTCCTGTAACAGCCAGTATTGCTAAACCCTTAACCCTTATACCCTAAACCCTGAAGCCTGGGGCATCCCATAGGCAGAGAGGTCAGAGTTGAGCAGCTCGGGAAAATATCTATATTCTGGTAACCCTCCCAGCTACCGACATAGTAGTTTACTGGGCTGTATAACTATAGGGTATATAGAACCCAGGACCCATTATTTAGGTAGCTGGAGCCCTAGGGCCAACTAAACTTCCTGAAGGCTGCATGTTCTACAACGTCCATGTAATCTCAGCTTTCGGCCGGCCCATGTCCGTGTTATTTTCCATTGAGTTCTCCGTAGTGGCAACTTAATTGAAGCTCTAGCATCTGAAGCTCAAAGCTCTAAGCCCCTGAACCCCTCAACCCTCTACCCCTCAACGCCTAAACCATAAACCCTAAGCCGCTAAACCTAATTTGAAGTCCCTTAATGGCAACCCAGAGTGGCCCAGGTGGGAGGACCCTGAAGGCGGCCCTGTACCCTGGTGCTCATTTACTACTCTTATTGTTGTTCTTGTTATTAGTATCATTACTAGCATTGTCGTCTTTCTTTGTGTTATCAATAGTAGTAGTATTATTGGTGCTATTAACATTGCTATTACTATTACTTTAACTGTTATTATTACTGGCACTGGTAAAGTTGTTGTCGTTGTTACTGCCATTATAACGGTTACCTTCAGTGCTGCGATTACTATCATTGGTGATTCCATGAAAATTGTGATGAGTAGCCTCTTTAAAGAATGGGAGTTATTTGGGGTTTAGGGCTAACGGTATAGGGTTCGGGGTTTAATACTTGGTGGTGCTGAAGGAGGAGTGGGTTTTTGCAATTGAAAAACCAACTGGAATATGAAGTAAGTGGAAAGTATAATTGTGCAGTGATTTGTTGGGTTTTGCATTTTTAGGAACAGGAAAGGGGGAGTGTATTTCTTTCACATTGTATGATTATTCCTATATGAGATGGGGTGTAAATTTGAGTCTGCAGAAAGAGGATGCCAATTAATTGAGGCATATCAGGGCCCTCCTCGGGGTTTCGGGCTAAGGGTTCATGGAACCCCCATGCAAGTATGATTTGCATATGCACCCCAACTAGGACGCGTATTTTCCGCCGACCGTCTCCCTTGAGCACTAGTAAGTTGTGCAAAGCTAGTGGCAGAAATAACTCGGTTGATGCCACAAATCCATACAAATCCTGCATCACAGGGCCTGCAGGCCCCTACAGCCTACCCTAAACCCTCAGTTTGGGGGCTGGGGCCGCCAGATACCCTGCAGCAAACACAAGCCAAGGAAAGCCATGACGTTGCCGCAGACAACATCAAGAAGATCATCATTTTTGCTGACACTTGGCATAGACGGTCTTAGTTTCACATGTGATGCTTGACCCCAATAAGCCCAAAACCCTAAACTCTGCAACCTGAACTTACTGGGTGTTAGTAGGAAATGAGGGAATGAATCCCAAAAAAATCCCTATACAACATATTTGCATATTCCCTACTAGTCCCCAGTAAGTGAACCCCAAGGGGCATGCAGTAATGGTTGCCCAGTCTGCGAAACCTAACGGGGTGAGCGCAAAGGCAACCTGGGGTGGACCATGCGCATTTCCTGGGTTGCGGTTCAGGAATCTAAACTACTCTACTACAATGCAGAAACCTACTACTAGTCACTATAATATACCCATGTTATGGCAACTTAAACCCTAATCCCTAACCGTAAACCCTATATTATGGTAAGTATTATATACCCATAGTTCTGGCAACTTAACTGAAGTTCCTTAACAGCCACCCAGTTTCCTACGTAGCCTAATGAAGGCTTCATGTTGCGCTCGGGAACCCTGTAGAAAGCTGTTCAAACCCGGTTTAGGGTTTTAGGGCTTAGCATTTAGGATTTAGGGTCAGCCCTCTACCTAAACTCAACTGAAGCCTGCCTTCCATATCGTGCGGGTGCTTAAGAGCAAATCTTTGACCGTTATTCTATCAAATGGTCGTTACCGCAGATGGGGGACCTTCATAAGGGCCCCAAAGCGACCCCTCAATGTGGGCTTGAAGCTTTTGTACTTTTCAGGAGTAAGATGGCATTACTATGCGCAGTGCTGTTATGATTGGTCTTAGCACAGTGAGGCTCAAGCAGTGTCGGGCTTCCCTTCAGATTATCCGAAGACCGTTCGTTTGGCTGTGGTTTTGCTAGTGAGCAGGTGCGTGATTGGATAATAGAAACCTCTTTAACCCTTGCATGCGCATCGCTGATAAGATAGAGTGGCACTTCGTTCATCAAGCACTGTGGAACCCCCAATTCTTCCACCCCAATCGCGCGGAAGCCCAAGCTCTGAACGCCCACGAGTCCCATTTCAACCCCCATACCTTCATTGAGGACTACAAGCCGGGCGAAAAGGTGGAGGCAGTTTTCGAGGATGATGGCAACTGGTACCTGGCTGACGTGGTAGCTTGCCCATGTATGAGAAATACTGAGCACCGGGTCCCTTTATGCTTTGGCCTGAGTCGCTTTTGGAGGGCTGAGTGGCAATACAAGACAAAGGGGCTCCGTTTCGGAGTCCAGTAGATAAAGGCTAAACCCCTTGGGGGAAAATTGCGGAGCACAGCATTGTTTGGAAATACCCATGCACTATGGAGTGCGCTGGATGTTGTAGCGCCTTCATCTGTCGGCCCACGCTCCTAATGACTTGAGAATTGTCGTTCACGACTGAGCCTGGCTGCCCCTGTAACCTGCACCAGCACCAAGATGTGGATACGCTGCTGGGCAGGGAAATCCGGTGATTCGTAGGGAACGCATTCGATTCTCTTTTCCCTACCCTAAGTCTCCAAGCCCTAGCCTGCCCCCAAAAATGAAATAGCTTCCATGCTCTTTCCATTCCTTGCCCTAAATCCTATAGAAGCTCCCATCTTCTTGGCCACTCCCTACAAACAACCAGCAAGCAAGTAGGGCAGAAGTCCCAACTTGGTTTTCCTCAGCCCCCACCCCCCATGCTATCCCTGCGTAGGTTCCTCTTCCATAGCTTTAACGAGCCCTGAATAAGCCGACGCCTAGTTAAGACCTCATCAGGCACACCTTGGAGGCTATAAGTGTTTAGGGCTTAGTCGGGGAACCCATGCATTACTGGCTCTTAGTAGGGATTAAAGGAATAACCTCTATAAAGAGAGTATATAGGGATCATATTCCCTCATTCTCTACTGAGAACCAGTAAGAACTGAAGGTCAAGAAGAACGATGATGGCTCTTTCACTGTGAAGTGGGACGACCCCGACGCTGGGCTGCGCTTTAGGAGGAATTGTAAAACATGCGAGCCATAAACTCCTTCATGGGGTTATGTAGGGGGTATATATGAGACTGCTATAGGGGTCATTAGCTGGGATAGTTTAGACTATGGCTCTTCTGTGTGTGTAGATGTCGAAAGCTTCCCAATCCCAACGGGTCGAAAGTAACGACATAGTGCAAAGTATGATTTCTGTGGTCGGCGCTTCCGTGGTGATTTGGGTTAGTGTGCCCTATAGATGGATACTTGGAACGCTTCGGGTCTGTTTTTGTCATTGCGGCAGCTCAACTATATGCTGTCGATTTTTCAAGTATGACACATGGGTTGGCTTACGCCCTCACAGCCTAAACCCTTAAATCTAAACCCCAAACCCCCTAGTGGCACATTGGCATACTCATGGGCCTTGGCCTTGGCATCATTGTCATTATCCCTTGGGGTCACTATAAGTAGTGGGGGGACCTAACCAACATATGGGGGATTGTCAAAATTATGGTCCCTTTTTGGGTCCCTATTATAATACGGGGCCTAATTTAAGGGACCCAAAAAGGGACCATAATTTTTACAACCCCCCATATATGA